GAGTTACGTCATTCGTCATTCGTCATTTCGAAGTTGCCTGACGAAATGGTTTCGTCATTCGTCATGACGAAAGGGTTTCGTCATTCGTCAGGCATCATTAACCCGAAACCAGGTCACTTATAGTAGATATATAATAGGAAAGGTTATGATTCACGTACATGCAGTTGAAGATATAGAAATAAAAACTAGACTGTACATCTTTTTCTAATGTTTTAATGCTAAATAGAAAAATCTGTGTCTAGCAATTATATAATTAGTCTTGAGTAGATTGGTACTCGAAACAAAACCTGCCCGAAACTAGTTAATACATTATTTGTTGATGTGTAGATTTTCAATGTGATCATATTTGGGTATCACAAATTGAGCACAATCCGCTGGCCAGGCTTAGACAAATCCTTATTTAGCAACTTACTATACCTCTACGTATACTAATTAACGTAAACTTTTGTCTTTAAAAGAAGTTATTTTGTGAAACTTTATAAAAACTAAATTTTGGCCGAAATTAAAAATTTCCCAAAACTAGCGCTGGGGAATTGAAAATTTAAAATTCTATTCTTGACGATAATTCAATTAACCAATTATGAACAAGTGTTGGAACAGACAGGTTATTAACAGGGCATTATGTACACATTTAGAAAAAGATAACGATAATCAGCATTCTGTACGTATATAAATTTATTACTAAAATAAATTCTCACGGAACTATACGTTCATCTTTAACTACCTGAGTCACAAATCATAAAATTTCAATGTCTTTCAATCATGATCAAGAGGTGAAGATAATCTTCTATATTCCTAATTCCCAAAACGTCGTTTTCTAATAAACTTATAGAATAGTCGGCGATTTTCCTTTCCATACGTGAGCGGCTTCCCTCTGAGACTTTTGGCATCCCTGCTTGAATATGTCCCTGGACTATCAAGTTATCTTTATAATAATATGGTATTAAGTACCTTGAGAGATAGATCCTTCAAAGAAGATATGACTATGATGCCATTACCTTTACCAAAAGAAATATTTGGTGTTGAAGACTCTGTGGTAATTTAATAAAATAAGCATGTTTTTTTTTAAGTCCTAAAACGTGTATATGCAATTGTGATGATTCTCTTTTAATATGCAATATTTTGATCATGAAAGAGTTCATAATTTATTTCGTGACACTCTTTAAAAAAAAAGGCAATAAAATGTAATATACGTATTTATAATAGATCATCGATGGGTTAGAAATTATTGAGCAGAAAAATCAAGAACATAATCCAGCTCCAGCAAACCAAAGATTTTTATGCGCACGCGATTATACTGATGCATACTTTACCAAAAGTATTACACCTATACAAGTATGTTAAGGATTATATTGTTTTAATCATAATCATATACAGTAATTTTAACAATAAAATTTCTATAAAAAAAGGTATGCGAGAAATTAATTGATAAAATAAAACAATCTTGCTCTAAAGCGTGTGACCCACCTCTTTACGGTTAGTTTGCTTTTAAAGTAATTATCTTAAAATATAACTTGCCATTAATCAATTTTTAAATTATAATGCGGCAATTTTAGGTATGTGTCAATATCACGAGGATGATATTAGAGCACAAGCTGAGGCGTCGACTTCTCGATATAATCAAAACCAAACATTTGGACCCCTTGACGGTGTTCCTGTGGCGATTAAAGATTCGATTGATGTTATAGGTTATGAGACACGTGTAGGAACATCATTTCTTAATCAAGGAAACCCTGCCTCAAAAGATGCATTTTTGGTAAACAAATTAAGAGAACAAGGTGCTATCATCATCGGAAAAACAAACTTGCATGAAATTTGTTTTGAGTAAGCTTTATTGGGAATTTATAATTGGTCAATATCTTCAATATTATAATTTAATATAATATTTATTTTTTTCTTTTTCCTGTTTTAATAGCGTTACAACTAATAATCCGAATGCATATACATCTCGCAACCCCTACAATACCGATCATTATTGTGGAGGATCAAGTGGAGGCAGTGGATGTGTTGTTGCCAGGTTATTAAAAAATAATTCTTATCCAAGATTTACTTTTCTTTTTTTAATTCCATTTTTAAATCAATAATTTTTTTCACACGACAGTGGTTTATGCCCAATTTCCGTAGGCAGTGATATTGGTGGTTCTATCAGGCAATTATTGAAATGATTTTTAACTGACAATTGAAAATCAAAAATCAGATAAAGATTTATATTATTTTATGTGAATTCGTGTTTAGAATACCATCGTCTTTTTGTGGAATCTATGGATTAAAGACAACATTTGGAAGGGTTTCTTCGACAGGAGAATGTAAGTACTATAATATAAAGTCATCTAAATCGAACCTTTACTTGAAATAACCTTACAAGATTATGTAAATCATGATTTTCTTAGTAAAGATATCATATATATATTAATTATATATTGATTTATTATATTTACCGTATTTCAAATTTATTTTGGTTATACAGTTCCACTTTCCTGTTCTCTGGGTGAGAGGTTTATTATTATTTTGTATAGGTTTTATGTAATTAATTGTAAAAAAAGCATCTAACCGAACATGTCATTATTTAGATGTTGTAGGTCCAATGGCTGCTTGCGTTGATGATTTAGCTTTAGCTTATTATATTATGGCCTGAAAAGATCCTGAGGTTTTTATTGTAATTCGATAATCTAAATTGTTTATACTGTAATAATCAATTACATTTGTATTTTAACTTTTTACATTAGGATTCAAAAACTTTGTACCAGCCATCACCCACTCTCCATGGTCTTTACCTTACTAAAACATTGTCTGATCTAAAGATTGGTATATTCTCTGATTGGAATAGACGAGTTGTTGATCCTGCTATTACTTCTTCTCTCAATTCACTTATTAATGAATTCAAACTTCGCGGTGCCGAGTTTATTGAAATTGATATTCCGGAATTAAATGACGCACAAATAGCTCATTCAATTACTGCTTTATCCGAATTCTGCTCCTTTATGAATGGATACAAAGAATGCTTACATTTGTTGAGTCTTCCTAATAGAGCAAACATCGCGACATACAGCAATGCGAATGCTTCGGATTACATTAAAGCACAACAAGTTCGTACGCGTATGATGCGTAACGCATCAGTCTTATTCTCTGGTGTTAATCTTATTTTAACACCTACTTGCGCCATAACTGCCCCTCCAATCTATCCGGAATCTTTAATATATGGTGAAATAAATCCTTCTGTTACAACATATGGAGTAAGATTTACAAAATTAGCCAATTTTATTGGTATTCCTGCCGTTACGGTACCAGCAGGTTATAATGATAAAAACCTGCCTATTGGATTACAATTTATGGCAAAATGGTATGATGAGGCAACATTATTAAGAGTTGCAAAAGTTTCAGAGGAAATATTTAGAAATAAGAGACGAAGACCTGCTGAAAAATATTG